TCTAAACTATGAAGTGTTGTATACTGCTTAAATTATGAGGTGTTGTATAGTGTCTAGACTATAAGGTATAGTACTGTCCCATATCCCTCGTTGAGGATTCACGTTCATAGTAAGGGGACTTCCCAGTTAAGGTTATACCTGTACAGCCTCTTTTCTCTGAGATCTAAACATCCCTACCCGTTGTTTTTCATATGTAGCAACTCTTTAGTTAAACGAAAGAATCCTGTTCTGAAGAATATCTGGATAATTGTAATACACTAATTTGGAGTTGAATTCATCTAGATAGGAAACCAGGCGGTAATTACCTCAGGGTCATCTGGGTGGTCAATTATGAATAGGTTTAACCAAGTGTCAGTATCAGACTTCTTCGGCAAGTATCGTGGACATAATTTCTGGAACTGGTACTTAAGTGTATTGGCCATGAACTGTTGGTGTTATTTAGATGTACTAAAAGTATTTAGCTTTTAACATTGTAGAGCATTTCCCATTCAAGAGCTCTATTGTAGATCGCATCAGTGAGCACTGATTTTTTTATTCTTTCCTAATATGTTTACAAGACACGGAAATGCATATCAATGCTATGATTATCCACAGATAACTCTGCTAATGCATCACCCTAAGTTTGGTAGAAAATCATCCTGAACAGATTTCAAAACCTCTTTCTCATGACATTTCCCACGTCATATATCTATAATTAGAATAACCTATTAACAGTTGAATTATTTATCTCACTGAAGATTTGCTCATTAATTTCATCTGTTTCATCTGGTGGCCTGTAATAAATTCCAACTACAAGTCTTTCCCCATATAATTACTAACAATAAAACCAAACCTCATTGCTACTACTAGTTTGTATATCATCAACTTGAACAGATCATAACTCACGTTTTACCTACAAAGCCACTCCTCCCCCTCTTTTTAGCATTCTGTCCCTATTAAGCAACCAATATCCTTGTATTTCAAATAAATTTCTGTCATCAAAATTATCTACATGTAACCCTGTTTCAGTTATTCCTATTTTATCAAAATCCTCTGTTACGATCAGTGCTCTAAACTCATCCACCGTATTTCTAATACTTCTAGCATTACGATAATAACAGTTTCACCTACCATTTAATCTATCTTTGTACTTTGTTCCCACACTATATCATTCTCTACATCTTTTCCTTCATTATTCAGGCCCTCTCCAATGTATATTCATAGTTGAAAGTTACCCTTACAGTTGAGTTAATAGCCATTGTAGTTAATACTTTAATCGTCACAAAAATTATTCTTTCTTGTATACGCTTGTTTCACATGGTTTATAGTGTTACCTATTGTCATTTATTTAAAACAAATATTTTTGATTCCCATACGGCCATTGCGACTTTACAGAAAATCCTAAGCAACAACAACACCACTGGTACACTATATTCACAGCATGCTTAGCCAAACGATAAACACAGTCCAAGACATACTTACCCAAATTATATATATTTATATATATATATAATTCAATATTCTATATAAAACTTTCTGATATTACAAACATAGACTTATTAGTCTGACTTGAATACGATCAAACCTATCCAAATACTTCACTGAGTGACTGGTATTTTAATAAGTGAAAATAACTTACTCATCGCTTCACTAACTCTCATATTTATAATTTACTCTTGTTTCTTGATACTGCACAGTTTCTTGGTGTCAAATATAGAACATTTTGGATATTCTAGCCCTATTCTCATAAACGTTTCAATTTTAGCTTCATGCACCCTTTAGCTTACATTAAAATTAAAGAATTAAAAATATAGCTTACAACACTTTCCTTGTCTTGGATTGTGAAGTCCCTTGAACAATTCTCACAAAAAGTAAAAACTACAATAAACTGTTCCTTCGCCAAGTCTATTGGTTGCTTTTCTTTTCCAAGATCTATGGTACATAAATGGCATGGCCTTTTGTCCCTTATTTTCACTGGCTGTCCTGTCACTAGGGGAGCTCTTTCTAGGGAGGTTTTTGAGGAAAATATCCGGCAGCTCCATTCTTGATGATCCTTTGAAAGCGGTCTCGACAGAGACCTAGGGCTCCTCAGCAGGTAGATTTTTCACTGTCAAGTTATTCTCCAATGTTACTCAATTGACAATTCTTTCACAAACATACTTCCAAAGATGATCACGGTGGACAGCCTATCCTTCGGGATTCTGTAAACTACATATTGATTCTTTACAATACAAATTATAACAATTCCTAGCACCAGCTTAACTTTCGTTCTTTCTTAGGGGAGATATTGTAAAGTCATATCATGTCACACCAATGGAAACCAGTCTTTTTCAGCATTAACATCATAGTGATTTCTCTTTATATCGCTGTTTAATTCAACTAGGTAAATTCATTGACAGTGTTCCATAAACTTTCTAAATATTCTGAGAATGGCTCTTCTGGGTAATTATTCTCTGGATAAGAGTACAAAAGGTCAAATGACACTTTAATTTCTCTCTCTCAATGTTCAGTGATGATGGTGTGTTGTATTTAGCTTCATTTTTGCAATTTTGTTTATTAGTAAACATAGAAGATTTTATCTCTCCATTATGCTATCAGAAGATAGGTTGTTTTCCTGGTCTTTTGAGCCCAAATATCTGATACATTTCCGCAAACAAAGCTGACCATTTCGTGAAATTTTCTATAACAATTATGATGAGTCTATTCCCATTGTTACTCAGAGGACTAGGTATATCGACTCTGTCAAGTGATGCTCCAACACAATACTTCTGTTGTTGCCTGTGTTGTTTGTTTTGTATGCCTTTATACTCACAGAATATGTTACAGTATTTACCCATATTTTACAGATCCCCGGCTCTCCATCCAATATAAGCACTCTCTTACTCTTTCTAGTTCCATCTTAACACCTAAGTGTCGTCCAGTCGTTGGAAAGTCATAGAGATGATTGAGTGCTGTGGAATGTAGATATCGTAGAAGTACCAACTGTAGTCGTTGTTTCTGTACACTAGTATCGTTCAACTTTCAACATAATAAGCCATCTTATAGGAATAATGAATCCATTGTGCCCAATATATCTTTAGACTGTATGGAGCAAATGTTTACCATGAGGGTCTTTTTTCACTATTCTTAAGACTCTGAATAATTGTTTTCAAACTCGTATCTTTGCATGAGAATCTTTCAACTGAGTTTTGGAACACGCTAGTTATTCATTATAACTTGTGTATGACAGATCTTTGATTATACAGTGCTGCCTTTCAGTTGGTATATTTTACTATCTAGCTATGCCCTATTTTCACAGTGTTTAATTTGTTCTGCAACATATTGTCTTCGAGGTAATGTTTCAGAATCTATGCGGTTCTTTCCAGGGCAATATGCAGTGTTAAAGTTGTGCCCTTGGAGTTTTTGGAGCTACCTTGCTATCTGGCCTTCTGGGCTGCAAAAACTCACCTACCACACTTCAATGGTGCATGATTTGTTCGAAGTGTAAACTTTGTTTATATTGGTGATGATGAGCAACACCTTACAGCTCTTTTTGAATTCTACGATAGCTCTTCTCTGCAACCTTCATTTCTAAAGTAGGCAATCACGTGCTCTTTCCTACTTCATTGCCTTGCTAAAGTAGGTACTAACGTGTTCTTTTCTACTTCATTGATCTTGCTGTTATAATGTTTTCGTACTTCACTGATATTTTCTGTAGTTCGTTTTTGACTTCATTGATGTCAAAATAATCCCACTTCTAGCTTTAGCGTTGTACCGTTGTTCTTCCATTGAGTGATTTATTTTAAATTATTTGGTGAAAATAATTAGAAGTCCAGACTACGTAATGATAATAACTTAGTTTATTTCTTCCTTAACATGATTACATTATTGTAAACTGTTATAACTTGTAGGACTAAGTTTACAAATGACATTCAAATGGAATTACTCACTAATGTTTCTACAACTAATGTAAAAGTAAAATGACTTGTAAAATTTAATTGCTAATCGATCGAGTATATGAACATTTGCCATAACTAACACTAATCGCAATACTTCTTTGTAACAAAACTCTTCATTAAAAACAACTGAAGGAATGTTTCAATAACTCTCATATTTATAATCCATTCTTGTCACCAGATACTCCATGAACTTACTAAATTTTTTACGTCAAACTTAGAACATTGTAGGTTTTCTAGGCCCAGTTTTATAAGTTTTACTATTTTAAAGTCATGGGTCCTCCAGCATGAATCTAAGCTAAAGTACTAAAAATATGTCTTACAACAATATATTTATAATGAGTATACTGGAATGGACAGCAAATGCCTTTTGTAAACACACAAGTGTGGAGGACGACGTTTCGAAAGTTTTCCGTTTTTTCGCCTCCGTTTTAAAAAACAGGCAGTTGACTCCATTCCAGTATACTCATCATGAATACTCTGCCTAAAAATCTATCAAATAATATATTTATATTTTGGATGATCAAGCTGCTGTTATAGACAAAACCAAATGTTCTATAGGAGGATAGAATGTAAATAGAGTTAAACAGTTGAATATAAGTTTTGTGATTTCAAATTTCAAAAGTAAATTACTTGTGGTATATGTTGTTTATTTATCATCAGTTTTGGAATAGCTGGAACTTATTGGACTATACAACAGAGCCTGGAAGCTACGCTTGCTACCCTTGGTGTAGTTTCTAATCTTGGTTTTATCTGTTGTTTTGGCTTACCAATACCTGTAGCCATGGAAGTAAGGAATTTCGTTTTTTGTTTAGTATTTTAAATGTTTAAAGTATCTGATTTATAATCAAAATATTAACAGTAAGAATAAAGGAAGTATGTGGCAGTTAATATTATTATTGTGTAAATTATATATATATATTTGTTCGTAACTGCCTATAGAATAATTTCTTTATTTATGATCCTTCTCGTTGTTTCCTATTTTTTAATTCCTTTATTTATGTATCCTTCTCGTTGTTTCCATTTTTTAATTCCTTTATTTATGATCCTTCTCGTTGTTTCCATTTTTTAATTCCTTTATTTATGATCCTTCTCGTTGTTTCCATTTTTTAATTCCTTT